AGAACGCTTAGATATTCATTGTCTGGATGAATTCTTGTTAGGACACGCTGCTGCTCTGGGAGGCCGGACTCAGACTGTGACCTGGCAAGCTCCTGGAAGACAAAATAAAACAGGCTACTAGAGGGGAAAAGCCGTTTTAATGGAATGAAAGCAGGCTAACCGGGGGCCTGACTGAATAAAATGGTGGATTAATTGCATCCAACAGGGCCTTGATTGAATAAAGTCATTTATAAGACTTCATGGAATTAAACAGGAGGCTGTATAACTTCCTGTTTGCAATCTTAACATTAAAATATGTGCATGATTGCTTTTGTAATATCAAAAGGTGCTACGAGGCGAACATTTATTTAAAAATGGAATGGAATGGAAGTGAAACTTGATATTTAAACCATAAACTTTAATATGAATAACTATACATACAAAGAAAACATAACCCGATGTGTAGAACTTGAATTATGAAAATAAACCTAATTAAATAAGTAAATAAATAAATGCCCATCTTTTCTTCATTGTTTGTTTTTAACATAAACGATGACATGGATATGTCTGTGAAATCTGCCGATATTATAACAGATGAGTCAGTTTGGCTCTAACGTGACGACGCTGGTTTGATGCCAAACTTTTCATGCATGTGCAACAGGTCAGCTGATTCATTGTCCCATGAATAAAACATGTAGTATCTGTTCTGAGCCTTTGATTACAGGTTCAACCGAGTTCAACCTGGCACAAAAATAACTGCAACGCTTTGAATGACACAGAATATTCACTTTACGTTCCCTGTTTGATTCTGTTTCCTCAATTTCTCTTACAGACACTGCAGATCATATAAAAAGAGCAAGCGTGTAAATTGTTTTAGTGTGTTACGATGACAGCAGTTTGTCTTATTGAGAGACAGGATAATAGAGGTCCAGCTCCAGCAGTGTGAAAGCAGGGCCGGGCTGAGAAAGACAACTGTCCCACCCTCGCAACTACAATCACACTGAATGCAGCCCATTGTTGGAGTTTGTAAAAGCTATGGAGCCACCAGACCATGTAACACTCACTGTCCAGCCCCCAGTAGTGGCCTAGATTCTGAGGCACTGCACCAGTTTGATGCTCCTGTTTATCTGCGGTTGTGGGGTTTCCACCCCGAGGGACAGTCTCATGTGTCGTTTGGCTTCGGCTCAAGCAGGAGTTGCAGCTCGTTTTTCAGAGTGGCTTGAGGTTAAATCGTCCTCCCGCTGTGTTCGAATCGTCCCCTCTGGTCAAAAAGAGGCACTCTATCAAAAAGCGGCCCCACAGACACCCAGGCGTTAGCCACAGTTTGAGGTAGTAGTCGGTTAAAGCGTTGCAGAGACGATAACATCACTCTCTTGGTGTACATACAGATTTGTTTTCAAGGAGACATGTTCATACTCAGGTTTATAATTTTAATTCTGGTTATTAATGACCAGGTTTAAGCTCAGATAAGATAAGATGATCCTTTATTAGTCCCACCCGGGGGAAATTTGTAATATTACTGCAGCAAGAGTCAAAAATAGGCATCAGTAAGTAAGTGTAAGGAGATATAGAAAATATAAGTGGAATAAATAATATTACAGTGTCCAAAAAGACATTTAATGGTTTAACTTTGATCCCTGCAAAGTTTTCTAACCACGTTTGCTACTAATGAATAATCAGTAAATCACCTAAGTGCACAAATCATCTGATGACTAACAACAATCATGTAAAATAATGGTGAGTTGAAGCTCAAGGTTCAGTAGGAGTCAAGTTATGGAACATTGATATTCCGGAAGAAAACACGTCCATTTGTGAGCGTGTGAAAACTGGTGAAAAGTTATGTTTTATGTATTTTATGCCAAACCTCCACATTCTAACTTAAATCCTCTCTTCTCTGCCGTCATGCAAAATTCATGAGTCTTTTCCACACACTAAACTCCAGTCGCTTTTGTGCTGTTGCTTATAAAAATGGAATTGAATATATTCATTTGTTATATGTGATATTTCAGACACCATTAAATCTTAGGTGGAATATCATGCTGGTATCGTTTGACCCTCATGAGGATCCACTGCGTCTTTGTTTCCTGTTGCCTGGATTCAAACGCTGAGAGAAAAGAATCCTCTTCACAGCATCTCTCATCTATTTTCTGTTTTTTTTTTCAGCTCAGTCTTGCAAGTTTGTTTGATCCCTTTTGCATTGCAACACAAATTTGTATGTTCTCGTCTTTACCCTCAGAAAATAATGATAACTAGAAGTGAACAAAACAACCAAACTGAGCCCAAACTTGATTTCGCTGAAGGTGCACGATCGTGTGCTACGCAGGTCGTTGGAAACCGCCTGGCGTTCTTCTCAAAGAGTCTTTGTTTGGCTGCAGATTCCTGCGGCCTTGGTGGACAGCGAGAGAGAGAGACAAAGAAAAAGAGAGGGAGGTGGAGGAGAGAGGGAACCGGGGGCAAAAGAGGAGAGAGGGTACGGTTCGGAAAACTGAGAGTAAAGCGTGAGGCGGAGAGGTTGAATAGTGAGAGAGAGGGAAACAACGAAAAAAGTGAGATTGAGGAATAAAGGTGACGAGGAGGAGACGAGTCAGAGCAGAAAAAACTAACGAGAGAGAGAAGGAAGCATGGGCTTGTGTGATAAAGAAGCACAGACAGAGGGATGAGGAGTTGTGGATATAAAAATGGAAGAGACAGCGTCTTTGAAAATGTGTGAGAGCGAGTGAGAGAAGTGAGAAAGTGTTGGACAAAAGGCTTTTGTTGTGACAGTGGCCATTTTGAATCTTCCCCTGGTTCCGGATGGCACCACTTCACTGTGTCTCAGCCTCGTTGTTTGGCCTAGTTTCTCACCAAGTCTCCGCGCACACGACGACAGCGCCGTTTACTCTCGGCCCGCTCGCTATTTATGTCAGACATCACCCCCGCGCAGTTCCTCCAGACACGGCGGCGAGAGCAGTTTCTCTCCGGAGGGTGCGACACGTGACCCTGTGAAATATTTGTCCTTTAAGGATTCTGATCATTCCACGTGTTTAATGCGCGTAAACTATAACATATGTGCCGAACACATCACGGACAAACTGAAAGATGCTCCGACATCCATGTGACACAATAAACGAAGGATCAAATAATCATTTGCATATTATTTTGCACCTTTCTGCTTTTTGTATCCCTGGTTAGACGCCAACGTACATTTCATGTCTCAGTGCTTTGATTCTGCTCCTTTGATTATGGAGGAAAATTCCTCTTGGATTCCGAGATTCTCTGAAGAATTACAGACACGTTGCGATGAATCAAATCTCTCTCTCACGACTGGCTGTGAAATGAAATGAAAGTCTCTCGGGGCGATTCCTCTCATGCACCGTCAGGTAAACAACAGGTGCTGAACCTCCGGAGCCGGTGGATTCATACCAGTCGGACTAAAACTGTAAAAATCCACCGAGTGGAGTCGCCTGTCTGTGCTGTAATTCTAAAACTGAGAATGTGACTTTACATTTTCTACTTTTAGTTCCTAATGTGACGAAATGTGTGCGGCATAATTCAGGTTATATTAGAAGAGATTAACAGGATTATAACCACAAAGTGAGACTGTGACTGTGCACATCAGAGGGCTGCAGAGACGAAGTACACACACACACATATACACACACTTTCTCCATGCATCAACAATAAGACGGTGAACGGAGCGTGACCCCACTTCGCGTGCAGTGCACTCACACTCTTACTGTACTCACACACGCTGCTGCTGCACACACCTACACAGATGCACAGGCCCACATGCAGATTATACAGTGAGTCACAACAACAGCCTGATTCATCTGCATCGACGTGAACCTCCCCAGTGTCAGGCCCTGACTCAGCCCTGTAGTTGTTCCTCTGTGTGAGTCGCCTCACGCCCGTCACAGTTTTTCAGAAAATACACAATATGTTGGAGAGAAGTTTTTTTCTTAAATCAATCTCCCCCGATAACATCTTGGCACATTCAGCCCGGAGAGCGGGAGGGTCCGTTGTCAACAAGTTTATAATGTGTAAAGATATTTCGCCCTCAGGGAATCGAGAGATAAAGAATGGTAAACAGATGTACGCTGTGTTTTTTTTTTTTAGGCGTTCATACGTCTGCTGCTGCTTTGTCCGTTCAGTGAGTTTGATTCCTGGATCAATGAGACAGAATGTGAGCTGATGAGACTGTGGATTCTTTGGCTTCATTTGTCTGGAGACGTTCACATCATGTAGTTCTCTGTGGGCTGACGAGCTGCAGAGCTTCAAACATGCAGCTTAAACACAATTAGAGGAAAGTTACTTTCCATTTGAATAAAAATGGTTCAAATGTGTCTCAGTAGAACCTAAATTATGAACATAGATTCAAATGCTGCAGCTCAGGTTTCTAGTTTCCGTTTCTGAATAATATAAATCAGTCTAGATGATAAACCCTGAACCTGCTCACAGATCAGTGCAGCAATAAAAACACACATGCAACACACTTAACACGAGTGCATTTGCCGTGAGGAGCAGAAAAACTCAGCTGTGTCTGGAGTGAGTCGTGGAAACAGCTTAATATTATGGGCTGTCTTTCCCTTGATGTTGCTCGAGCTAATTAAGCCTCGTACCAGGTCTGTTTGAAGTATGTGAGAGACTCACTTTAATGATGTGCTTTTACGCAATTCTGTGTTTTTGCATTTAATTTGAATATGTTTACAACCCCCGAGAACTTTGATTGTGCAGATCGAGCCTCGGAGCTTCGACTGGACTCTCCTGCGTTTCCTGTTGTTATGATGTTTTATTATAGATGTCTAAGTATTTCTGCTTATAGTCCAGTATTACAAATCCTTCTGCAGAGTGAGTACTTTTACTTTACTTTCCACCTCTGCTCATTCTTCAGGATGTTCCTGAAAATGTCAAAGTGAATTTGGTGGTGCACACTGACCTCTACTGTTGATGACATGTCATCTCCTGTTTCTGCTCTGCACCCCCCCTGTGACGGATGTCGGAGCAGAAAGGTCACAGTGATTGTGTTTGTGGTCTCTTTGCAGGATCGGCGTGCTGTGTGCGTACGCTGCCAATCAGAACCTGAGCTCTCAGGTGAAGAACATCCGCAGACTGGTCAACAGCAACATGAGGGACTTGCACACGTTCACCAATGACACACCCATGGTAAGAGAACGCTCAGAGTGTGTGTGTGTGTGTGTGTTATCGAAACAGATGAGATCATAACAGTCCCAGAAATTAAATTATCTAACGATGCAGGCATTTGAAATTCAAAATTTAAATGTTAAGAAAAGAGTTAAAATTCAGGCGAGCGGAGGTTCAGTCATTGTTGGAATTTTAAATTCCTGGACTGGTCACATTACATTTCTCTCTCTCTCTGTTATTTGAGAACAGGAATCCAACGTGATTCTCATTTTAAAGAACACTTGCCTCACTTTCTCTCATCGTCTCCATTTTAAACATGACAAACATTTGTTGACTGTTTTTTTTCCCGTTCGCAGCAAATTGATTACCTCATATCTCAGTACGCCACGGCCAAGAAGAAAGTCATCTACGACCTGAATCGTAAGTAGACCCTCTCCTCGTGTCTGATGGTGAAGGAGGTGGAGATGAACTGCGTCTCCTCTCCATGACTTGTTTTCCCCAACACTTCTGTGACATAACTAGGTCTGGATATCTCCAGTGGCGACTGTAACACAGGATCCTCTGTTCATCCTGCTTCTCTCCTGTGTTACAACTGCAGGCAGATATTTCCTGAAAGTTAGAACCAGCAGAAGCTGTGATGCTTTTAATATGAAGGGAAAACTTCATACCTCACGCTCTGATGTTATCCCTCTGCAGATATAGGCCCTCTACTGGGTGGAAGGATACATGATCAGCTGGATAAGGAGGTCCATCCAGCCCTGGACAGAGTGCTCAACATGGCCGGAGGTACATCCGCTCTTTTTTAATTTCCTCTCTCGGTCACGATGTAATCTGATGACTGAGGTGTGACAGCTGTCGAGTGGAAGCTCTGGCTGCAGATGCATCACGTCCCATTCGGTGACGCAGCATCGCAGCTCACGTTACATCTCTAGGTTCAGTGAGATGATGCCAATTGTGAATTAAATGACTTTATAATCATTCAGCGCTTTTTCCCCCTCAAATCTTCTTTTTATGCTTTTTTATGAAGTGAAAATCGAGAGAGCCATCAAAGGTAACAGCGACTGAACAATTACCCACAATGCTTTGATCCCCCTGACCCTGTGAACTTTGACCATGGTGTTGCCCCTGTGGTTTGTTCCCCTGTGACCCTCCAGGACTCATCAGAGCCCCGAGTTTAACCACTTCATTTATTAAAACTGCACAACGCAACATCTCACTCTGGTGCACGGGGGTGCAACTTCAGAGTGTTTTCTGGAATCTGGAGTTTTGAGCTCACCGAGGGAAGGAGGTGGTGAAAGGAGGTGGTGAAAGGAGGCAGCATCATCTGTCGTTCCTGAAGGAGACATGTGATGCCTTTTGTGTTAAATTAAATTTTAGTTTGTTAAAAACCCTGAAGTGGTTGAGGGAGGGGAACCGTTAAGAGACAGGAGATAAAACCAAGAGTTTCAGACAGAGGCTGAAAAGAGGAGCTGCAGCAATGGACAGTCAGAGGACACTGAACTTTAGAGCATGAAAACATTTGACAGTGATGAAGCTGAAGCTGAATCTGAGGACACTGCGTCTCCTTTAACTCTGGAGTCAGTATTATTCTCTAGGTTCACCACCTCCACCCTCTGGACGGTTTTAAATGTGAAATAAAAACAGTTCATTCCTCCATTTTTTCAGACTTTACCATTTTGTTTCCACTGATAAAATCTTGCACGGTGCAGTTTTAAGATAATGGCGTCACCGGATCTCCTGGAAATCCTCCGTTCAACTCCCTCATTGTAAAGTGAGCATAAGAAATTATGCGTTTGTGAAGCCAGTCCTGTTTTATTTTAATTCTGAGCTTTTTTTTAACACATGTCGATCGATTAGGTGACAGAATCCCTGACGACAGATGTGTTTGTGGTTTCAGTTTGTGTCCCTAATGTTTGTGTGTATGATTGTGTTACCGGGCCTGAGCCGAGTCTTCAAACAATCTTTAATCAGCTCCAGGTATCAAATGTTTAACTGAATAGAAAAACACATTACCATAAATATGGTATTTGTGCATTTAGCACAGCATCCACTTTACTCCCTCTTGTGCTGCTGAGCATTTAACAGTGTGATAATAGATCCTCTGTTTCCTCCTTTACCCTCTTGCATCTTTTATACCTGTGTTCGAGGATGCCAGTGTTTGTTTCATTCTTTATCCCGTTTGATTTTAAAAATCTGCTGCAGGAAACAGTCACATCGTTCATTCATTATTCACACTGTTCATGTTTGATCATCGTTATCAAAAAGTGTGATGCTCGGCAGTCAAAAGTCTAAATTCGGATGTTACAGAGTCAAACCACGCGCTGTAAATAAAGATGGACGACATGACAGCTCCCTGTGAGCAATGCCAAAGTGTATTGACCGCCACCTGGTGGCTGGCTGCAGTATAGGTCATAAATCCAAACTCCTCCATGTTAACAGACAGGCTTATGTCATTTTAGGTGTTTCTTATCACACAGATGTAGAGTGTTCATTCAGAGTGCGTGTACAGACAGGACGTCGTTAGCGCAGCTCCTCGTTATGATTCCTTCTGTGCAGACTCTGGTTTGTTTCTGGAATATTTTTGGATTAATTTCTAGATAGTTGGAGGAGGTGGAGATGCGTCGTCCATCTTTATGAACAACGTCTCTGGTCGCACCAGGACACAGACACCGTTTGACCTTGATTACAAGCGTCAGGGCTTGGACCTGATGCTCAGTGTGTAGTACTCGGCTCAGGCCTCCTGTGCATCCAGAACGAATGTGTGACATTAAATGAACTTTCCCTTTTGACACACTAAATAAATCTGATTAATTAATGACATGATGACATACATAACTGTACCAGCTGCTAAGATTTGAAGTTTGTCTCTGCCCCAGAAACTTTTGCTTCATATTCAAAAAGTTTTTTTTACTGCTCTGGATATAAGTCTACATTTTGGGCTTTTCCTGTTACAACAATTTGACTGAATGTCCCAGAACAGAACTGAAGGATCTCAATAAATCATTCATTACTCTTCTTCTCTCTCTCTCTCCACGCAGCCATGCGAGAAACCAAGGAGGCCCTGGAGAACGTCAGCGTGTCTTTGGAGGTCCTCCAGGAGGGGACGGGGAAACTCAACTTCAACCTGAGCCTGGTCCGCACCAACATCAACCGCACGCTCAACGACCCCGGCTGCCACGACGAGAGGTCAGACGCCACCACTGCCCAGCTGTGCCGCAACATCCGCCAGTCGCTGTCCCAGCTGCAGATCAGCGCCAACTTCACACGGGTAAATAAAAAACTACACATTTACAGACGATCTAACTTTCATATATATTCTCTTGCACGTGTTCTGATGGTTTACCTCTGTGCATGTTTATTAGTGTCTCATGGCCTCTTTTTATATTTCAGCTGCCCCGTGTGAACACTCAGCTGGAAAAAGTGAACGACGTATTGAGGACGGACCTCAGCACCATCGTGCAGCGGGTGAGTCTGGAGCATTTACTGTGTCTGTGGATTCTCTCACTCTGCAGCTTGATTTATTACCAGACTTCCAACCTTCACTTGGTTTCCTTGTCGACCATGTTTTAGATGTCTGTCCCTTCTCCTCCCACAGGGCTTTTCCTCTCTGAATGACACGCCTCATATGGTGATTGAACAGACCAGAAGTGTTGTGGAGGGTAAGTGACATTTTGCAGTTTTCTGAAAGCAAACACAAATAATCCCTCAGTATTTATTTAAGATCTCCTGCCATCTGTGGTGCTAAACGTATTCCTTATGACTCACTGAGATATATATGTTCTAAATCATCAAACTACAAGTCAGAAAAACTGTTCAAAATGAGCTTTGTTCTGAGATTTTATAATATCTTAACACGGATAATTCTGCTGAAAAGAAAATTGCTGAACTGATTGACGTGTCTCTCAGGTGTCCAGAACCTGGTGGACGGCATCGGCCACAACATCAGCAGCTTCTCCAAGGCGTTCCCAGTGCAGAGCTTTCTGTCCAACTTCACCATCTACATCAGCCACGCTCACGCTAAGATTGAGGACCACTACCCTGAAATTGACAAAATGGACTTCTACAGGTTCACTGATCTCCCAACATCTGAGCTATACGTCCACTAACAGTGTCCTTACATTTTTCAAGAAACGATGTTTTAAATCCAGAAACTACAGGAAACGATGATAAAGTTGGAAATACACTTGATATCTGGCTTGACCAGACTCGTCTCACGAGCTCCTGCATAATTAATGTGAACTGTATTACCCTGAACTAATATTTTGCATTTATGAAATATTCACATCACTTCTACATTATTCAGTTTAAAACGGAGAGAAAGCCAAGATGACATATCAGTGGATATTACATTTTCAATTCAGCGCCTTCAACCGCTGAGGCTTCAGCTGCGGAACATTATTCTCACACCAGCTCTTCCTGCTGTTTACAGGTGGATCGGCTGCATCGCTCTGTGCTGCATGGTGGTCCTGGTCCTGGCCTTCAACTACCTCGGCCTGCTGTGCGGCACCCTGGGATACGACAAGCACGCCTCGCCCACGACGCGCGGCTGCATCTCCAATACGGGAGGAACGATGCTCATGGCGTAAGTCAACAAATGCCCTCGACAAGTTTTAACAACACGAGTTACCTGTTTTTAAGACATAACATCATATTCCCATGATATATCTATTTACTCACACAGGTTCTCTCTCTAAGATAAAAAAACCATATATAGTATTAACAGAAAAGACAAACCCCTTATTTAATAGAAAGTGTTTTTCTTCTCCTGTGTGAGAGAAACAGATCTCGTTATTTCTCCTGCTCCTCTCCTCTTGCTCCTATGGATGGTTTCTATATAACATTATACATTAAACTGACACTGTTATCCGACTTTATTGATTCTCCTCCCCCGCTGCACGTCCATGTCCTCGTACCTGAGGCTCCGTCTGCTCTTCTCCGCAGCGGCGTCGGGTTCAGCTTCATCTTCTCCTGGGTGCTGATGGGGGTGGTGACCACCATGTTCCTGGCTGGAGGGAACATCGAGAAGCTTGTCTGTGAACCTTTCCACACCAAAGAGCTCTTCAAGGCAAGTCACAAGCCTGAATAAACGAGAAATGAACATCAGGAACAAAACGTGCAGTAGTAAATGTGATTTTGTTTAGAACATATTATCATATGTTGTGTGTCATACATCCAGACACCTGGGGGGCGATTTATCGGTTCTCTGAGGAACAGAATGGATAAGGCAGAAAAGAAATGCATTTACATTTGAAGAAAATAATATAGTTATGTTGTAATATCAAGCGTCAGTTACATTTATTCATCTTAGAAATCACTGACCATTCTTTTTTAACATGTGCTGTATACATCAGCAGATGTAACGGCATCAGAATTCTTTTTTTAATTCCCTAATATCCTTGTTTTCACTGGCGCCCAGAAATCCTTATTTGGTTGTGGTGGTAGCTCTTACACAGCCATTTCTTAGTTTTTGTTCCCGTTTAGATTAAAACAGGAAAAGCAAAACGTGAAAAGCTGCTTTCTTTGTGTCCGTGCGTCGGCCTTCCATTAAATTCTGCTTTGCATAATGCGAGTCACGCTTATTCAATTTACTGATCGATCCAATTTGCCTCCCATGAGAGTTATTGATCCCGCGTCCTGTTGTCCCGCAGGTCGTGGACGCCCCGTATCTGGTCAACCCGGAGTGGAGGAACTTCCTCCCAGGATACATGTACAACGACTCAGAGCTGGAGCTGACGGCAGAGAGTTTATACAGGCAAAGAAAACTTCTTTTTCTGTCGTATTTAGGTGACGATTAAATCTTTAATTCATGTTTACATTTGTCTACAAAACTAAAGGATGTTGCAGCAAGACGAGATCATTTTCAATTAGAGCCTGTAATGTTCCCTGATGATGCCAGTTTTCACATTTCTCTCTCAGTTTTGTTTTGGTGCAGGCTGAATATTTAACTTCCATTGATGGCAATGCAAATGAAAAGAGAGTTGCTATTAACATTAAGGAGACAATTAGCATAATTTATTTCCCTACTCGTCCTCTGCTGCGTTTCTTCTGCCTCTTTCTCAGCGATTACATCAGCTTTCATCATTTCCCTCCAGTGAGACGCTGCACATCCTCAGTAAACCGGGAGGGAAAACCCGCAGTCATTATGTTCCCAAACAGAGCGCGGCCGCGTGCATTACAAAGCAAGCGGCGCTAAAGCTGTGTACATTATGAGACTCTGTATGGTTTTTATCACGGACAACATTTATCTTTCACATCCCGTCTGCAGAGGAGGATACTTCATGTACTTCCAGTCTATTTCACTTGGTGGCAGCAAATGTTTCCACTGAAACTTTTTTAAGTTCACATGTTTCTCTCTCTCAGTCTCTGTGTCTTTGTGTTCATGTGTTTTTCTCGGTGTCGTTTCTCAGCACGTGCAAAGAGAACAAAGGCATCTACTTGGCCATGCGTCTGGACAAAGTCTTCAACATCTCCACTTTCCTGAACACGACAATGGTTCGTAAAAAACCCAGGATACTCTGTTCAGTGCTGCGTCCACACGCAGTTTGAGGGCCTCTGCACTGGTTTAGTCATTTACCCACAGTGGAAACAAACTGTTGAAGAAATACGTTTAAAAATCTAATAAATCAATTCAAATGTTACGACACAAAAATCACATTATAAAACATTATATTAATCCAGGATGGGATGATAAACATATGATCTATATGAGACTCCAGACGTCTCCGCCCTCGGCTGCAGTATTTCACTAACATGACCTAAAGTGTGTGCTGATGGCCGACTGCTTTAACGTCCGTACCTCAGCGTACGCCCGAGACGTTACACTGATTCTATTTCCCTCTGACCCTGAGCCAGCCACTTCTGCCTTCCCCACTCATTCAGTGCTTCCCTCGCCAGTTGGCACGACTGTCTTGGCTCATTTTTTTTTAGCTCACAGCTGATACGAGGCCCTGCTGCGTCTGTGCATTGGTCATTTCTCCCTGATTAAATTCCTGTGAATTGCGGAAGTCGCCAAAAGTCTGTGTCTATCTCACAGTTTGTCAGTAAAACAAACCGTGGGCTGGTTATTTTATCATCGTCTATATGTTTATAACAAGGCTCTCTTCAAACATTATGTCACGCACGCTATCTCACTGTCTCACTGGATCGCTGACGCCAGAACATTTTAAAATTCAAACCCACACACCAGCTTTAGTTTACACAGACTGCAGAAGTCACACTGTGCGTCCATGTTCCACTCTTGTATTTGTTGCGAATTAACAATTGTTTTGCATTTTGGAGAAAAGACAGAAGAACAGACGGAGTTTTCAAACCACTGCTGTATTGATAAATTATGATAATCTGTACAGCACTGCTTCATGCATCATGTATTATTCTGTGGGTCTTAATGTTTCTAGACCGGTGTGTATATAAATACTGCATTGCAACCAGTAAGTTTACTATTTATTACTTTTTTCTACTAGTAATTTTGTTTTATTATTATTTATTTATTTGTTTGGTTGTTCTCAGAAAATGACGAAGACAAAACCAACTTCTCCAAGTTTTTAGTTTTCCAATGAACTATTTTAACATAAAATCGTGATTTTTTATAAAAAGAAAAGAAAACGACCAATAAAGCATTTGGCTTGAAAACTCTGCCACTGGATTAAAGTTTTTGGAGCTAAGCTCTTGTAGTTAATTCCATCCTTCTGACAATAACTTCATATGCTGGACATTTCTTTGGTTTTATGGGAAATTCAGCCTGTGTGAACGTACAGTCGGTGCCATGTCATCTGAGGAACAAACAACTTTAAAGCCAACATTTTTTTATTGCGTTCTCTTTTTGCGGAGCAACAAAAAAAAGCTTCTGTTCTTCTGTGTTGACGATTAAAATGCACATTTGTATTAAAGACCTCCTGTGTTGAAATCATGTTTATCTTTGCTTCAGGTTAAAACAAGAACAGGGACGAACTAACGAATGATTTTCATCGTGGCCAGTTAGAAAAGTGTGTTCGGCCTTTCTAAGTTAGAAATTGACTAATTGTTTAATAGTTTGTTGACAGAGACGAGTTTTACGGTTCAGCATCACAATCCGTTCAAGACCTAAAGGATTTTGTGCACAAATCTATTAATGTAAACTGAAGCTGACGATAGAAACAAGAAGCAAACCGGAGAAAACAAAACATTTTCGTGGGATTTGTAATCTTCCGTCCAAACCACATCTTCCCAATGTTCTGTTTTAAATTGTTGAAGCTTTTCATTACGTTAACCATGTTTATGTAAACTTATGGTAATTCCACGTCTCTCCTGGACACAGACTTCAGCTTTTTTAACAAGAACTTTGAGGCTGAGCTGTATAATCCCTTTAAATTGCCACACTGCTGAATATGTTGACCCCCAGTTTCAGAAAAATGCACAAAATGAGTCTGGTTTTGTTAAATTGCTCCGAACGTAATTCTGCTCAAACCTTAATGCTGCACCTTCCGTTGTCTGCAGTTCACTAAGGACGTGGTGAGTCAGCTGGAGAGCGTCAGGATCGACCTGAGAGGAATAATCCTGTTAGAGGCGGAGGGGAAGCAGAACCTCCTGGATTTCTCTGAAGCAGGACTGTCAGAGATCAACTACGCCGACTATCTGGAAGAGGTCTCACACACACACACACACACACACACACTGACACGTGTGAGTGAGCAGACGTGCATGAATGAGCAGGAAAACACACAAACATCAGAGAAGAAGAAGAAAGAACACACAGACACAAGCAGAAACATTAAATATAAAAACTTTATTTCCGTGATATTAGAAGTTAGATTCGAAGTTATCGGCTCTGCAAAGACCTGTGTAAATATTGCTGTTAGATTGTTCTATACATTCGCTGATATTATGGGATCGCAGTTGTACTTTAATGGTGTGTTACCAGAAATAGCTCAGCCTCCTCCATCGCTGTCGGCTGATGTAGCGCAGGCAGCCGTGCTTTACCTGATATGAGCTGCGACATGACACAGCACAACGGGTTCTGTCGAGGGCCGCTGAAGCTCGATTATCCAGAAGTACGGCTGCCAAGGCAAAGAGTGACGTCCCCCCCCCCCCCGTCTCCTCCAACACCACCTGTCAGGTTCACTTAGAGTTATTTCCACAGAGAGACAGAGAAAGAGGGAGGAAGAAGTCGAAAAGAGGGTTCAGGACCAAGTGTACCACCTGTCCTCATACATAACTCACTCACTCACTCACTCCAGGGCCTGAGATGTTTGTTTGAGTCGTCTTAGGAAGAAAATACAGTAACGTCCCGGATTAGAAAATACAAGATACATAAAATAAGATAACGAAACAAGACATAAGTCACAGGAAGCTTCTCCAACCCTTCTATCTGTCCGTCTGTCCACCTGTTTGTCTATCCATCTTTCCATCTGTCTAAACACAGCTTCTCTATATGAACCTGTGTGGTTCGTGCTGGAGTAAATGTGTATTCATGTGTATATGGCACTGAGAACTGAGGAGTATATAAACTACCTCTCTGCTGACTGTCTGAGCGAACTGATGATAACATTTGTCTGTTTGTTGGCGTCATTGTTGTGACTTTGATCTGCTCCGTAACTCAAAAGGTAAATGTTTACTCTTCATTAAAATGAATTCACTGGAGGAAAATGAACTGATGTGGTTTAAATACGTTTTATTCTGCAGCTCAGTCTTCTTCTTTATCACATTATTTATTAGTTCATCCATTCTGCTTTTATTTCTAACGTAAACGTACAATTAGAAAAGATGAAATCTAACTTTTAAACATCTTGAGCTCAAATGTGGAATATGAAAAACAGTATAAATGATAAAGTTCTTCATTCTTTATAATTTCCTCCTCCAGGTGAATAAAGGAGTGACCGTGGTCGACCTGCTCTCGTTCGCCAGAGACCTGGAGGCTCAGACAGACCTCATGGTAAGAACACTTCAGTGCCTGGATGATACAAACGCTTCATCTGATTCACAAATGTAATTTTGGATGCTGGCGGAGGTTTCGAGCTTCCTGCTCTTCAAGCTCTCTGAAGAACACATAACAAGGTCTCTCATAGAGTTCAGACTGCTCTGCCCTCAGGTGGCTCATAGAAGAGTCCAGGTGGATCCTCCAGAATCAGGGAAATTAGAAAAATTCAGAGACGGTGTTCAAAGCTGACGTCATGTTTCCTGTTGTTGTTCAAATTCTATGAACCGGAACCTTTAAAGCAGAAAGTCTGAAGTTGCGTTTTAAACTAAATCGAACAATAACGACCGATTCTCTGGATTCATTCGAGCTTGAATTTCCTCCAGTGCTCTGATGGTTTATATTTATAATGAACTTGTGCATTTATCTGCTTCAGCCCAGAGGCGCTCTGCAGACGGCTCTGAAGGGCCACAGCGGCACACTGCGACAGATCCACACTCAGCAGATCACCCCCATGGAGCAGGCCATGGTAAAGCCCACTGTGTTTACACTGCACATGTTCATGCTCCACTTCACTCTCTATTCAAATAGTTCTGTCTGTATTCTTTTATTCTGTTTGTGCTTTCCAACAGTTTATAGTAGATTATAGAATTGTGCATTAAAAAAAAAGACCTTTCTGTTTTCTTGATCTAATGTTTTGAACTTTAATTTGGTGAAATTCAGAGAACCGGCACTTTGAGCTCATTGGTTTGGTGCCATGGCCTCAAACAGTTTTTACTTCACTGCTACTGTGTTATTGAAGAGAAAGGTATTGTGCTGAGAAAAATACTGTATATTTCATCGTCTCCCTCGACATCATCAAAAGCAGCGTGTTTCCGCTGCTCGGGCACGTGTCATCAAACCGCGAGAAACAAATCAAATATTCAGTTTTAAGCCGATACCGATCTTTTGAATAACACCAGGGTTCTGCTGCAGCGGCCTCGAGCAGCTCACGCGAGTGGTGACGCAGCTTTTACAGCAGCTCTTTGTGTTTTTCTTTGTTTTGTTTCTTGTTTCTCCTTCAACTTCAAGAAATATGTTAGAGCGAGGGTAAGCACACGTGTGTTCATCCCGTGTATTTAGTGTCCCCGTCCGTTCTTAGTAACATTTAGAGAGATGCCGAAATATGATATATGTCACTGTGAGTGGTGTTGTAGGATAACGTGTGTGTTCTTGTGTTTACATTTACGTACAAATCATATACGGTGTTTAACATGAAGGGTTTTGAACCAAAACATTAGAGCCCGACCGATAAGGACTGTTATGATACAGGTATATCCGGATAAATGAGAATTAACATGTGTAGAAAATATAATTCTGTTTTTAAATTGGCAATGATAATAATTTACAGGTTAACCGTAAATTATTTATCATAATAAATCAGGAGAAAACACAAATACAACCAAATGTTGAATTCAAACATTCATTTTCTGAAATGTAAAATAAGTTCTAAACATAAACAACAAGTAGACCCAGTGAATCTGTCTGGCTCTGCAAAACATCGCAAAATATCCACATGAAGAAAATTAATATTGTTTTAATTCAGTCGTTGTACATTTTGTGACAACTCTGTTCCGTCATTGGTGGAAAAAAAACTGTTGTTACATAAAGTGTGCGGATCAGTGTGTGAGCAGTTCTTTTCTTTGCATTGTGGATATTTAATTTTGGAGCAAAATTCTTCAGCATGTCCGAAATGAAGCATCAAGTGTCATCAAGTGTCGGTTGGTTTTCATCCCTGACGTCCGGTCGTTGTTTAATCCATAATCTTTGTCATCGCTGGTTTCACTTTGTGTTTTTTTTTTAAACTTTTTCCTCTAAAGAGTGCGTTGAACCAGAGCATGAGGTTCCTGGAGAGAACAGCCTCAGATCTACCGGTGAGTGAACGACTCCTCCGAACTTAATCTAAAGTTTACCTCAAACTTCAAACCCCAAACATCCTCGTTTCCTTCCCGCAGAACAAAGTCTTGGAGGTTCTCGACGCCATCGCAGCTGCGCAACATCTCATCTCCCAGAATGCCACACAGTTAATCAATCGGGTAATTATAGAAATTACTCAATAACATATTCTTAATTTGTGAATGATGCGTGACTCACATCATGTCCTCTTCTTCCTCAGGAAACAGGAAAATACACAGCGACCATCGTTGGCTACTTCCATCAGTACATAGAATGGGTCAAAACGTCTGTAAGTGTTTGTGTGTGAATCTGTTAATTTGTCGGAGCTTGTGCTGACTCACATTTTCTCACCACCGCTGCTCGTCAGGGACTTACTGGCATTCGCGTGTCGGGAGTAAATATAGAGGAGACGAATATAACAGTTACAACCTCTATAAAGTTCAGGAATTTGCTTTGTGGCCCGTTGGTTTCATGCCGGAGTTAAACTGAGGAAATCACAACAGCGTGGAAAGAAATAAAGAAAATGTCGGAGCTGTTTTGTCGATCACAGTCAGAACAATATTTTTATTGTAATGTTGTTTTCCGTGAACACGTAAAGTTATAGTACACGGATGTATCGTGCAGTATAATCAGCCTGGAGCTTGTATTCCTGAATCTTCTCTCTTCATGTCTTGTTTCCCGCAGCTGGCCATGGAGGTGGCCCCCTGCAAACCCTTCAGCAACATGGTGGACACCGCAGAAATCATAGCTTGTAGTTTCTTGGTGGACTCTATGGTAATAATGGAGCTAAAGGGAAAAAAAAAAACTCAAAGCCCAAACTGACATATTTCAAATTGCTTGTTTTCTTTACGCCGAACTCCAAAATGCAGATATGTTCATTAAAGTTAAAGAAATTCAAATGTAGAAAAAGTTGGAACTGGACTTTTTGGGATTAAGTGAAGCAGATGAATATTCTGTCGGTTGATTCGTGGATGAATAATTCCAGGTTGAATGGTTTGTCTTTGTGCTCAGAACACTTTCTGGATGGGCCTGGGCTGCAGCACTCTGTTCCTGCTGCCGAGCATCATCCTGGCTGTGAAACTGGCCAAGTTCTATCGCAGGATGGACACAGAGGACGTTTACGACGAGTGAGTAGTTTGGTTTTTAGTTTATAGAATATGAAATAATAAGTAAATACACAAGAAGCTGTATGTTTGTACTGCAGTAATTCAAATGTTCTCTCATCTCTTTAAATTGTTTTAATTCAGTCGCTTCAATGATCAAATTTAACAAATCTCTTGGTTTCTAATGTTTTTAGATGAATAAACGTTTCATGGTTTTTTTTTTTTTTTACGCTGTAGCTGATTTGTGTTTTCTTCCGTTCTCTCTTCCTTGTAGTTCCTCTGTTTCTGGGACTTGGCATTTTACTTTGTGATAACCATTTCTACTATTTCCATCTTCCACATCTCGTGTTTTTATTATCATTTTTTTCGTTTGGTTTCTCTCTGTCAAGCACTCGGCACTTTACAAGAAAAGAAACAAACATTGCGATGCATTTGTACATTCGTTTTGTTCTTCTTCACGGACCTTTGATTTTGGTCATGGCTTAACTGAAATGCAGCAGTTGTTGTATTACAGGGACGTTCCTGCTGCTGTTCTATTGCTGAACACTTCAATAACATTTTTATTTTGTCGTTTCTTTGTGTGTATCTTTATAGCATTGAGACAATTCCCATGAAAACGTAAGACCACCTCCCTCTGTCCCTCTCGCCCTCTATCACTCTGTGCTTTTCTCTGGATCCTGTAAATAGAACTGTTTACTAAATTCTTGGTGCTGGTTGATGTTTTTAGGCTTGGAGTTGCTCTTATGGGTGGATGCTGTGGTCTCTTGTCGTGTGCTACCTTTTGAAAAGTGCCCCTTACCTTACATGAAGGGCTCGTGCAATCATTACCTTACAAGTCCACCTGTCTCCTTTTTTTTTTTTTTGTAAGTTGTAGTGTAAATAAATCATCACGGTTTATACTCGAAATAAGAAAATGTGTATCCGCTGACATTCTTGCAAAGCGTTTTTACAGCATGCCGTTTCTCTCACGTCACATTTTTCATCCCCCTTTTTTTTTTTGTATACGACATTTTGTTTGTTTTCAGTTTGGAAATTGGTAATAATGGTTATCATAGTGAGGGTTCACAAGGTATTCCAAATCCTATGATGACAAGGTAAATGTTATATTGATCCTGTTGCCTGCATGTGATGGGGAGTGGAGGCATGCCTGGGGAAAGGGGTCCGATGAGCACGTGGCTGCACGATGCATGGCTTTAAGGGGGTTGATTCATTGCACACACACACACACACACACACACCAAACCTAGAGGAGAGCAAAATTAGTAGTAGATAAAAGCTGACGGGTGATGGTAGCTTTATATGCGAACTATCCCGTGATATGTTTTTACTTTTAATAACTTTCTAAGAATACATTCTCATTTCTTGCTGCACGTTGTACGAACACACTCGTGTGAAATGAAAAAACACAATCCTGTCTCCTCTCGTTTAGAGTCAGCCAAAGTCCGATGAATGTTCACCTGATCATTTTGTTCAGAGAGAGGCAAGCATGTGAAGCTCTGGTGTGATGCTGGGAATGCTGCTCCTTTGATTTCCTCCTTTCATTAACACGTCTAACTGCATGATGTTCATTTCTTTAAGTTGCGTTTGGACGGGGGTGCATTTGACCAAACTACCCGCTGTAACCGAGGCTGCAGGCAGAGAGCAGGACGGCCGAGTCTCAAACAAAACCAGGCGCCAGCATCAACTTTTAAACTTATTGAACTTGTCCTTTGTGTGAGGACAGCTCTCCTCTCATTCCTCTATAGTTTCAAAGACGTTATAAAAATCCTTTTCTAAGAAATATTGTTCAATACATTTTGGATTTTTTCTTAAATCTAAACTCTGGATTTTAAAGGGGCACTAAGTAATCAATGACTTTTATTGACCTGTTTGAAACCACTGACCTCTTTCATTCTCCTAAAACACAATAATTAACAAAGTCGTATTTATATCCCAGAGGAAAGTAAATTAGACTCTTGGCTCTGAAACGATCCTGTAGAAAGAAAATATAAAGTTTGTCTATTAAAACTGGTGAATTGATGAACAACAGATTAATATTCTCACTTATTGCCCCTTTACCTTTCGACACTTCATCCGCCTCAATCCCTCAGAGGATGTTGACGTGGCTGTTCTGCTCTCTGGCTCGTCACCCGCTCGCCCTGCGTCTCTTTGCCGAGAAGCACGAAGCGGTTTCACATAAAGGTGATGGTTGAATTCCTCGTCTGTGCCGTTAATGCTGTTCCCTGTGTGTGTGTGTGTTTCTGTGCCGGTAGCATCCCAACCTATGACACTATGAACAGGTTCCCGCGGGCCTCGGCTCCTCCGAGGCACATCGACTGGTGACAGAGAGCCGACTCTCGTTCAGGTACCGGACCACCGACCGATCCGAGCTCTGCTTCTCCAGCGGCGTTTCACTAAACTCCTTCCTCACACAGCTGTCGTCTGCCGTCATCACGCCATCTGTCTCGCTCGTCTGTGTTTCTGCCTTCCTGTCTCTCGTGCTGCCAACTAACCCGACTCTCTTACGCTTCTTCACAGCTTGTTTTAGTCCCTTTCTGCTCACAGTGACTTTGCAGGAAAACCAGCATGGTGAGATTTGTAAATTTTTTGGAGTCACTAACGAACCATGACTGTCTTCAGGATGTTTGTGTTTAGCTGTGATTGTCGGAGTCAGTGTTGTAGAAGAGAAATGCTGCATGTGCTTGTTCCTCCCTTTTTAACTACTGTTCATTATTCTTCATAATTTAGTTTTAAAGTAATAAAACAGTCGTTTCATATCATTATCAGAACAGTGTGTGTGAATCCTTGCAATTTTAATTCTGCAACACTTTTCCTCATTTGCCCTTTTATTGTATTTGCAGTTGAAGCTGTCATTAAGGTGTCGTTACGTGAAATCATGTGAAAGTATTTGCCATTTCATTTTATTTCTTTATAAAAAGTAGAATTTTAGGTTACAACACTATTTGCAGTTAATATTAGGGAAAGTCACATTTCCTCCCAGAGTCCCAGAGGGTTTTATGGGAATATTGTAAGAACAGTTCATTGTTTTAAAAAAAAAAGGAAAAAAGCACAATATAGTGTTTGAAAACTCTTCTTGAAAACTTCACTGACTTCACTCTTCTATTTCATAACTCTGCCAGAGCTGCGTCAGTCCCCTGAGTCGTGCAATGTGGAAAAATGACACTAGGACTTGGATTATTTACTTTAATGTTTCGAAATACCTCGTTCATCTTTCTCTAACATTTGTCTTCACAGTGCCCTCGAAAACTGGAACTGAAAAAAGTGAGTTTGCCCTCAGTTTTATTTCGAAGCCTTTCAGTTAAATCTGCTGCAGCCGATCACACAGCAGGATGAGTTTCGATCCTCGGATCAGTCGTGAGCCCTTTTTTGTTAAGAAATCAATTTAACTCTGACTTTCTCATATCGAGCCTCAAAATCTAATTTGCGAAAAAGTTTTCTAAATTAGACTTTGTCATTCACCAGTTTTATTGTTGTATATTGATAAAAAGGTCAAAGAGGATGAAAAGTCTTGTTTTGTGCATTTATACTAAATTGTAAGAATAGAACGACCAAAAGCAGAAGTTGTACTTAAACTATTCCAAAACTGTTCACGTGCAATCATTTTTTTAATGAATCTCCACGTGCATTGTATTGTGTTTGAGGTTTTCTAATCATATATCATGTTCATCTGTTGTCCAGCCATGTTTCACATCCCTCGGACCAGACGAAGCTCAATGAAAGCTGGTTTCCTTACGACGGAGGAACAAACAAAGCCGTGCAGGTTTCTACAGCGATCAACTCAACCAGACTGATCACAGCCTTCAGTACGTTTACTGTACCTGCTCTCCAGCGTCCCCCTGCCCCACTTTAAGGGTTTCTAACTGCCGGACGTAAACCTCATCTCCTGCAGCATCAATCTGAGCCAGGCTTGCTCTGCATTTTTCACAAGACTGCTGTGTCTGCGTTTACATTTGTTCAGACACAAAACCAAGCTGAAGATACACTGGGCAAGAGGACGTGACCATAAATGTGATGCCTGTTGTTTGGTTTTTTTTTGGTACTTGTCACCTGAAGGTCACGTCAGGCCAGAGGGAACCTTTTTATTTCTCCTGCACCTGAAACAGATGCGTCACATTCAGCAGAAACGTGAACGGGCGGAGAAACGGTCGAAATTTACATGAAATTCAATGAAAACCAGTTTTAATGAAAAGGAAAGATGTTCGTGAACTGCCGTCTGTGTGAGTGGGTGGTCGAGAGGATTCAGACAAAGTGGTGAAATATGTAAAGACAGGTTTGTGACAGAGGAAAATTTAGCATGGCTTATAAAAATGTTTACAATATTATGAAACATCTAGAGTTTGACATGTACGCTGGTTTTGGAGCGATTTGCAAATGACTGGTTGCCTTTCAGAAGTTAATGAAACGGGAAAATCCATCATCAGATGATCTTACACTGTTAAAAATCACCAACGTCTGGTTCAATCTCTTCATGATTTAGTGAAAATTAATTATTATAAGTGTGTTTTTATTCAATCTGCTTCATCTCACGCTGGGCCAGGTGTTGATTTCCTACATTTCCCAGAATGCCTCTAAACATCCCAGAAATTGTGACTCATTAGGTCTCAGGTCTAATTAGGTAAGTTTAACCAAACTATCATTTTTCTTGCGGAGATGGTTTCACTACTGCAAGAAAAATCTCAAATATTAAGGAAATCACATCACAGAATTTTAGGATATATACGTTTTTTTCTCCCATTTTTTTTGAAAGATTATAGATTTTATATTTACTTTTTATTTTTTATTGTTAGCGCAACATCTACAGTCCAACAATACACCACAAAACATCAAGAAATAGTGTTTCACAGTGTGAGGACTTTGGGTGGATTTTCCCTTTGAGTCACTCGATGAACTCGGAGCGTAATCATCACATAACGAGAGAGTGAGGTTTTAGATTGTTCCTTAGGTGATGGATTGATTAACTAGACTACGCATCACGTTGTGTTTCGCTAACAGGACATTTTTACTGAGATCTTTGTTGCTTTCGTAGCGGTGATACTTTTACTGTCAAGCCAAATCCTCTTCTTTCTTTTTTTTTACTGTAGGTCTCAGGTCTGTAGTGAACTATCAGTTACATGCTTTGTTTTCTGCTTTTTAAAAAAAAAAACCACAGTAGCTATGGATACATTTAAATCTACGGAACACATGAATGTATTCAAGAGCTATTTTCTATTTTCTATCGCTCGATATGGCTGTCGGCTGAAATCTATCTTTAACTTATCGGGCCAGTTTATCTCATCCGCCTCTTCTCCATGTTTACAAGCTAGAGTTTGCAGATGCTGTCAGTGTAGAAACGCTGGTGAAAAACTAGACAATCCGCTCGTGGAACAGAGTCAGCACTGCCAATCAGATATTAGAAGAATGCTTTGTGGTTTCTACGATTGGTGGTATTGATGCACACAGTGAAAAAAAACAATGTCCATCTTAACATCGACATTTAGGATTTTTAGATGCAGAATAAAAAAACTTAATTAAACCTACAAAACCAAATGTAAGATGCAGTAATTAAACTTTATTGTTTGTTTTTATTTCTTAATAAGATCTTGAATACGATAAAAAAGTTGAGTTCTTCTCTCCGTATTTGAGAATATATTAAATATCAAATATATGTATATATATATATATATATATATATATAAATATATATGATCTAAATCAGTGATTAGTTGATTAAAATTGAAAACTAGTAATAATATTTATAATTATATATAATTTCACCTCTTGTACCTTATGACTACATAATAACTGAAATTATAATGACTACCCTAACACACACTAACACGATCCACGCTAATTACCTTAGATAGGAACATAAACTTAATCCTATTTACATTTGACCATTTTTAACATCAGATTACTTTGACATTACAAATTAGATCCAGATTTTAGTCTCCAGATTACAACTGATTACAGTAATTTTTAAATTGATTCACGATAGATTAAAAAACATTCGATTTTTATTGAGAAGGAAAAAACTCATGCTACTTATTCACACAAACACAATCAACACGAGTCACCAGCTTAATTCACATTCTCTGATTTTATTCTCAATAAAAAACACTAAAAGTAACACAACAAAAACTAAACTACGATCTTAATCCCACTGTGAAAGTTATTTTTTTATATACATAAGATTCATGCTAACTTGCTGCTCACTGTTGTACATAAGCCTAGTGCTGTAAACAGTATTGTATTAACTACCCACTGTCCGGACAAAGTTCCTCAGTCTAAGTGCTGTGTGATTAAAACATAAGAGATTTCTATTCCGATAACCGATTGAATTGTTAAGATGGATATTTTTAGAAACAGCTGTGTGCACAGTTTCTTGTCTGCTGGCGTCTGGATGTGACCCAACCTTGAGAGAAAAAGGGTATGAATTTACTAAGTGCTTAAACTAGAGTTAGTGCATCCAGGCCCTGGATGTATGCTGGCAGGACAGATGCACAGTGGGAGCTGGTTTTAGCTGTGGTGCTCCACAGTTTGGGCACAGACGGAGCCGCTGAAGAGGAACTTCTCATGTGGTGGTGAAGAAAAGTGTATAAAATGTGAATAAACTGCGGATTTCAGTTTGTCCTTTCACTGTATTTCTTTTCGTTTGTTGTTCACGTGTACTCTCTATGAGAAGACCTCATAGGTTGTGTCTTTATGAAAACAACAGTAGGTTTGCTTTTTTAGCATCAATCATTCAGTAAAAGCTAAAATTAGAGATTTAAGCAAAATGTGTGTTTTTCGAAACATATCTGCCGTGGTACTGAAAGTAAAAGTACACACATATATGTAAAACAAATGACGTATAACATGAGACGTCCTGCTCGTTGTGTATCTTGAGACACTGGGCTGCACATTCTTATGTGGTGCTGCCGCTCCTGGCCAGAACCCACTGGGTTGCGTTGCTGGTCAGCTATTTTCCATAGGTGATGATTATCCTGTTCCATAGGCTTCGCTCTGAGGTTTCACTCAGGCACCACACTGCAAAACCACTTCTTCCAAATAGGCTCATATAAGTTTCAGATGAGACTCGTCAGAAACAGAAGCAACGACACGGAGGAAATGTTTTTCGTTTATGTCCATTTCCGAGAATTTCACAAATTGTCCTTGTTCGCTGAGTCCTGCACAAGTTGTACATCCCAGTATGTACAGTCCAGCCCTGATATGGGCCGAGCCATTCACTAACAGAAACAGCAGACACTCCAGTTCTATAGAAATATGCACTTGATGGGGGAAATGTGTTTATTCTGTATATTATTAGAACTTCACGTACACATGTAGTTATTTATGTTGCTGCTGCAGCAGCTGCACGCTCCATCTGTAAATAAAGTAGTATTAGTTTGAATGCATAGCTGTGAACATATGGAGTTGCACTTATGTGAAGTGTCCTCGGGGAAAATTCTGGACAACCAAAGATAATATTTCATTTGATTCACAAAATACAGATCATGATTCCATAAAGAACAAAAATCCTGGATCTACATAGTTTTGCATAAATCCTGTTTATGAACTAACAGATGAAAACTTAACCTTCTTAATGGAAATAACGTCAAAGATCCTGATGTTATTTTCACTGTTTCTGTTCCGAATGCGTCGACTTGGCCTCACGACACACACAACGGGACATTCATCTCCAGAGACGCCCTGAAATAGAGAAAAAGTCCAACCCCACCCCTCGTTATCTGGCTAAGACATAAGCATGTCTTGTTGTTTCTTGATTGACCTACAAATATTGACCATGCTCCACAGTGAACTGGGTCCACAGTGTTTCCTGCTCTCGCTTCTCTGCGGTCGTGCTCGATGGCGTTCGTGTTTGCAGGGAAATGATAGGTTTCCCTGCACGGTTCTGAACTGCTTTAAAAACAAGCATGAACTTGAGGGCTTCAGACTAACTTCAGTAAATCCTCAGACATAAGATAATTATCAAGAAGAATATGATGTTTTGCCTGATTGCATAAACCCTGTGGCAACAGGAATGCACCAAACTGGAAAACAGGGTTCAATTTACATAATTGTCCTCTGCAGAAAGTTGTGTGACAGAATGTTCCCTTCTCTCAGAGCACTGAGGTAAACATGAGCGTCACCGTCTCAGCCGGTTTGACTTCCTCCACAGAGATTTAACCGATGTTGCTGTTCTCCTCCTCCCGAACACCAAGTTTCTTTTAATCTGGCCACTTTTTTTTCTATCCCGAATTCCTGCTTTGTCTGCATAGCAAATAAATAGCAGGAGGGATCCTCAGCTCCAGCAGTTCCACTCTCCTCCTCCTGCACTCAGCATCCATCTAACACCATGTGGACCCAGGCCAGCCCTCCCCTGCTGCTGCCGCTGCTGCTCGCCTGCTGCCTCTGGCCGGCCGAGGCTCAGAGCGACGGCAGGATGCAGAACATCTGGGACGATCCCATCAAATTCAAGACCAAGGCTGATGACTTCTGCAACATGACCATCACTGGTCACGGGGAATTCACCCGGATGAGGCTGTCGTGCCAGAGCAGCAAGCGCTCCTACTGGTGCGAGTACGTGGGGAAGCCTTACAACTGCCGCATGTACAACAAAAAACCCCGACACTACTTCATCCAGATGATGTGGGGCTTCAGGAGGATCCACAATGCCTGCGAGGCACCGAAGAAGATCAGACCTCACATGTGCAGGAAGGCAACTGACGACTCTCAGATGGTCTTTTCATCTGCTGGGTCGTCCCAGTTATGGCAAGAACCTTCTTCAAGACCAAGACCAGCAGCCCGGCCTGCAAGACCCGAACCTCGACCTGCACCCGACAGGCCGGAGTCAGTGAGGAAACCCTCTTCGAAATCCATACGAGTCCCACCGAGAGAAAAGACCTCGCAGAGAACCACTCCGCCGCCACCGACGCCTCCTGTGGAGACCAACGCCAAGAGGATGGCTCGGCAGTACTGCTGGAGGTCACTTCATGGCGTCTGCTCCTACGTCATTGGGTTGTTTCGAAATTAACAAGAAAGGTACGGACCTCTTTGATAACACAGCTTTTATTATGTTTTACTGCTAATCCAAGAATTCTGTGGTCGGACGAGGGGTTTGAATCCTCCAGCAGTCATCTGCTAAATGAATAGTTTTTTGTTGTATTCACAGATTTACACTTCTGATGAAGATGTCTTCTGACGAGGGAAACTGCGGCGGAAGAACAAGAATCAGCTTCCCTCAGGAGAAGGGACGTTACTGCAGTGACTCTAACAAACCTTCCTCAGTGAAACTTGCATGTATCATCCTCATCCTCCTCCTCCTCATCATCATCATCATCATCCACTGAAAGACAGATTTCTCAGAAACAACCTTTTCATGGTCACAGCTGTAAGAACATCACTACCTGACTTCTTTTTATAAGAACAAATATTTTGCATTCGAAACATAAGTAGCTAAGTTTCCGCAGATGAACCTAAACCCAAACTTATTTATCTTTC